AAGAGGGCTGTGAACCATACAGAGTTTCTCCTTGCCCATTAGACGAACAAGGAAATAATACTTGCGCTGGAAAACCAATGGAAAAAAATCACAGATGTACGAAAACGTGTTACGGAGATCAAGACCTTGATTTTAAAAGCGATCACAGATACACAAGAGATTATTATCGCCTTACATACTCAAGTATCCAAAAGGACCTTATGACTTATGGTCCCATTGAAGCATCTTTTGATGTGTATGATGATTTCCCCAGTTACAAATCAGGTAAATTAATATTACTTGTTACGAAGTTTTACATTGTTTATACTTAAATTCTTGTTTAAATTGCTTATTTAAATTTCTGAACTAGTTGTCATAAATATTATTATTTTTAGGAGTCTACATTAAATCAGAAAATGCAACATATTTAGGAGGACACGCGGTTAAATTAATTGGATGGGGTGAAGAATACGGAGTCCCATATTGGTTGTTGGTTAACTCGTGGAACGAAGAATGGGGTGACAATGGTCTTTTCAAAATTCGAAGAGGTACAAATGAATGTAACATTGACAATTCGACTACCGCAGGTGTACCAGTAGTTTATTAAGTGTATCATTAGTATTAACAATGTTAAATATTATATAATGAAATAAAATCAATTTTTATTGTTTTATATCTTTTTTTTTTTTTATCTACTATTATAGAAATAATTCTTTACGTATTGATACACAACAATCCTTATTATTATGATTTTAAATACTAAATATAAAGTTAAAATATTAAGTCAATAACTGAATGGTTACCTATTAACTTTGCTCTAACTTCATAACCATAACATTCTATATTTTAGATATTTGATTAATTTTTATATGTTACATACTATACACCTTAAACAAAGTATTTCACTTTGTTTTTATTAGTGTTTCAGCGTTTAAAGTCGAAGTTTAATATATTGTTTCTTATATTTATGATTGTCGTAGACGTGTTGCTAGCCAACATTTTTATTTCATAAACCGGTAACATTAATTGTATTTTTAAAATTTATGGTTTTTATAAAAACTTCAGGATGATTAATATTATACATATCCATAAAACGGCAATGGACTACACAATGAGCAAACCAAAATAAATTGTACCTACCTAATTTTTAAAATCACGTAAAAAGTTTTTTCATATTTATTTCTAAATTTACAATGTACTAAAAAAATAGTAAGCTTTTCGAATCACGTGTCAAAATTGATTTTTAATTCATTTATACGACTATATAAATATATAATATGTATACTAAATATATTAATTATTAATTAATAATAATATTGCATTATTTTTTAATTAAACATACAATGTTCGTAAAGCTTCATATTTAAATATTTTAATATTTGAATTTGATTTATTTTGTAATAAATGTTTAAAAATAAATCCGAAATTTTTGGCCCCATCAAGCAATACTCGGCTCTGTACCCATCTATAAGATTTATTATATTAATTAAATGTCATCAAAAAAACTTTTTTTCCAAATACTTCACATTAAAAAAAAAAAAAAAAAAAAAAAATGAAATCTCTAGCCAAGTATTCTGCCTAATGGACAATATATACTAAATTTTAATAGAATTATAAAATATTAACACTTTAATATTATTAAAACTCACTTCCGGATGATAGTTTATGCATTTTCCTGTGCGTCTCCGGTACATGTTTTGATCTTGACAATTATACACTGGTAGTCCAGTTTTATCTGTTGCCATTTGAACCTCTTGTGGTTCAATGCTCAGTTGTTTGCTGCCGCAAGGGCACAAAGTATCCACCACTAATAGTATTAAATTACTATGGGGAATTTTTTGCACGCTGAATGGTCTGTAAATATAAAATATATTTAACATGTATCAAGTCGTGAAATTGATACACGATCTACATAAAGTATATAGGTTATTCAGTACTCGGTTATGATTGCGTTGACTCTTAGAGGACAGTTTATGAATTTCCATGATAACATAAATAAATATTTTAACTTGTTAAAATTATTTAATATACGATAGTAAATATTAAATGATAATCGTTTCATTTGATTTATACAAACTTTGTCCGCGATATAATAAGGAAATGAACTGTGTATTTTTGCCTTTATTTTTGCTTTTAGAACTTGGAAATAGTTTTTAATCAACTTAGATATTATACATAGAATTTAGTGTTAGGAGAAAATAATAATAAGCTAAGATAAATTTATTTAGGAAAAATGGTTTTTACATATCTCAAGTTGTAAATAGGTACACATAATATGATAATGGCTAATCGTTTTTTCATGATCAAATTTAAGTAGGTAAATACAAAATAGCAATACAGGTTATATTATACCTTTCGCATCCAGTAGCGTGGCAATTGGTCAATTTTCCTTTGAGCGGGTTAAATGACCCACTCGTGTTTAATTTGTTAGGTTGCAAGACGTACAATTCTACTGATTTGCGACAAGTTCTAGTTATGCCCGGTTGGGTTCGGTTGTACACTGGACTAAAGTACTCAGCGTTTTTCATGCTCGGCACATACAGCGGCGGATGTGGAGGCATATCTTTATAGTCGTTACCAGAACTCCCCCGATCGCTGTTGTCACCATCCGTCATTGGCTTGTCACTCTGGTCCGTGGTCTTCTCACCTTGATCCGGCACGAATTCGTCTGGTCCCAGGTCGTATTCAGAATACATCGGATCTGTAGAAAAATTATTAACTGTGTATAATATATAAATATCAGAATAACAAATCAAGTTTGCGCAAGAGATTTCAGTTTGGCTAATATGTAATAAATAGTATAAAAAAATAAATACCTTCGTCTTGAGCTTGAATCCACTCCGGGAATAGAACGTGATAGATGTTAGTTTCGATTGCTAACCAAGCCAATCGACCTAATAACCATCTTACTAACCAGACGATCGGCTGAAAAGGCTGAAAATCAAACAAGAGGCGTCGTAAATGATTTAAACTGGGTGTTTAATGATAGTGATAACTGATAATCATTATAGTTATTTTTTTTTTTTGTATGATTACTCGTAGAGAAGTCGCTGAATCGGTCCCCGGTTCGATACCGCTGTGACACGCGCCTTGGTTATCCACAATTTTAATTTTCTTGTAAATGCCGTCCTGTACCAACGAGTCCATAATCGTTCCATCTGTTTGCCCGAAAAATTGACCGGTATGATGAGATTGTTCAGATATTATGATGAAACCGTTATTATCCAACACATAGCAGTCGAGATCGTCGGAAGCACACGTCTTCTTGCATCCAGTCATGCCGGTACACTTTAAAAAGATAAAAAAAAAATTGAAAGAATTTTTTTATCATAAAATTGTTATTTTAACCACATACGGCCGAAGTTATGTTGATGAAATGCGAAGCGATCGATGAATGTTGAAATTGTATGCCGACAACCGCAGCTGCCGCTCGATGACCTTTGTTTTCAACGAACATCGCGTGAGTAGCTGTAATCAATGGTCGATCAAGTCCAGCGCCTGTTAAGAGATCAAATAACTTTGATTTATTTTTATCCTTTTACATTAACAACATATCCAATTGTAATTTTCTGAATATATCTGTTGAGTTTTAGGATAATGGAAAATCAAATAATATAGAATTATAAAATACATACAGTCATGTGAAAATGAATTATATAAACAATAATATTGTCTATGTTTAAATGAACACTCCAATAATTATTTTTCATCGTTCACAATTTCATCAAAGAAAAAAAAATGAAAATTACAAATGGAATATTTTTAGTATGATATAAAATCAAATTAACCGGAATTAAATGGCACTGAAAACACAAAACTTTCAGGTTCTATGTTGTGTTGATCAATTGCTCTTTTGTACCACACCTCGTCTATTGCTTTTTTATTGGTTTCGCTAAAATGTCTAAAATAATACGTGTAAATTTAATTTTAATATAAATGACATAACATTTAAAATCATCAAATTTACAGTTCAGGTCCTCTGTTGTTAGCTGTTCCGTGATCTCGCCATCGTAATAATCCACTTCTTGTCGCGATAAACGTAAGCGTTACGCCGAACATATGATGTCCTTGACTACGAACGCGTGCAACACAGTATTTAAAATTACAAATTAATACAGAACGAAACAGTGCTGTTTTATAGATATTTTATTAAAATTTAGAATATTATTAAAAACTACTCTGAAGAAGCCACAATCACGTAATTTTTAATATTTTCAAAAATGAACATATCTATAATAACAATTTTAAATTTTGAATTGCTTAAAAAAAATTGATTAATTGAATATTGCAAAAAATATTGATACTATTATAGTTACTTCTTCAGAATTTTGTTATTTAAATGTTATATGGAAATGAAACCTCTTACCAAATCCGCCGCAATAATAATTCAAAATATTTTCTAGGGTGGGAACTCTTAATTATAATTTAAAAAATATGTATTTCAAAATCGATTGAAGTTCATATTTTTCGAAAATAATCCTAAATTACGTTAGGTACTGTCACACACTGAGCTAATAAAATATAAAATCTACATAGTTCAGTGCAAATAGTTTGAATGTACCACGTGTTTCATCTACTTTACCTGTGTAGAAGTGCCATTAGTGTGGCTATTGGGCTTTAAAATGTAGACAAGGTTAGTGCAATTTTTAAATAAGGTGCAAATATATAATAAATCATAATTAATATAAAAAAACAAAAGTAAGTAAAACTATAACTTACGATAATATTAATTAACACTTATCGATAAAATAAAATATCTGCTGAAACTATGTGTTTGTCGTTTTTGACAGAATAACAAAATATGTTTTTAAAATAATACCATTTTTTTTCTAATATAAATTAAGTTACCTATTTTAAGATAACTAAAATTAATTAATATTTTATTAAGTCAAAATTAAAATGTTTATATTCAAGCTATTAAGATCTATTATGATTGTTCCTTTTACATTATAAATATTTGTTTTTAACTATTATGGAAGTATCAAAAAAAAAATGTTCATTTATTTTTAAGTTTTTCTTATTTATTTTATTACAAATTTAAAAATTGGATATTTTGAGATGTGATATTATTATAATATTTTTTTATTGAACATTTTAGTATCATAGTGAAAAATTTAAATAGCTCAATACACTATTACAAAGAAACAAATAATAAAATAAAAACATGAATAAATATTTATACAATACAATTTTTAAAAAATAATGAAGGGGAACAGTAAATCAACAAAATAAATTTTATAATTATTATGATTGTATGCAGTCCAAAAGAAAAAAATAATTCTATGAAGTTAATAAATAATATTATGTAAATATGTACATATTTTAGTACACATACTTAATATATTCAGATATTTTATTTTATGACATCTTGCGATTTTTGAATAAAATAAAAATAAGTAATCATGCTTATCAATTATTATTATTGGTGCATATGTGTCATATGTATATTACTGTGTTTTAACTAAACTTATATAATAATAAATTTGGTGAATACATAATAAAGTAAAACATCAATCGTGATTTGTGATTTCAGTGCGTTAAAATGCGTGTTTAAAAATAACAGCCAAAAGTGTTCTTCTTATTTTTATTTTTACCTATTTATTAAATTTTGCATTCTGAGTAACGCGTTAGTAGATTTACTGAAAATAAAATGTTTGAGAATTTGTAAATATATTTTACTTTTTTTTTTATTTTTAACTATTTAAATTTTCAGTGATAAAACAGTAAAAATACATAATATTTTAATATTTTAAAATCAAAAAAACAAAAAACCAAAAAAACCTTTTTTTATAAACATTTAGATTAATTTTATAAGGCATAATAAGAATACAATGTACTTACTGTTTATCAACCTTAGATATTTGAGTTGTTTGTTTTTCAAGACTATCAGTGACTAATGCATCGAATACTAAGGATTGTAAAAGATTTTTATCGCCTATAATTAAAAAATATCACATTAATTAATCTATAAGTACTTAAAATGATTATATAGATATCATTAACAAAACACTTACAATAATGAGAGTCTTTTTCTTTTCTCCACGTGTTATAAACCTGACTTGTGCCTGAAAATACTCAAGAGAATTAGTATTTTTAATGTTTATTAATTCACAGAATAATTACCAGGTTCTCTTTGTGGCATTCTAGACCTTAATGACATCCATTTCCAACCAGGACGTTTGGTTCTGGACAAAAAATGTAACACTCTATCCTCAGGAGTTTTAAAATTATGTTCATTTCCATAGTTATATTCACAGTAAACCCTGTAAAATTTGATTTTAATAATAATACTTCGATATATATCTAAAATATAATTTTAATTCAGTGTTGAAATAGATATGTACTCACCAATCGGGATGGACTTTCCAATTTTTGCCTTTGAAATACTCCGTAACTGAAAAATTAATACAAATAAAATGAAAATATCTATATATAAATTAAAATGTTTATTTTAACCACTAACTATTGAATTGAGTTAATTTGATTTCTTCTTCTCCGAGTAATTCATACATCCCATAACTTTCTGGGAGAGCAATACCTAAACTATAAGGTGTATCTTCGATTGAATGATAAAAGTACTTATATTTTCTAGTAGATACTCGTCTCTGAAAATAATAAAATGAAATTTTTTTTAAATTTAATTTGTTTAACAGAAGATTATTTTGAGTGGGTTTAACTTTTAAGTTTAAAACTTCTATAAAGTTTTATTTTAATTATAATTTCCTAATAATCTTACTGTCTTATTTTTGAAGTTTTAAATTAAAAAAAATATATATATATTTATAATCTACAACTTATTTTTCTTATTTTACAGTGAAATGTTACAAATTGAGTATTATAAGTTTATGATATATATTTATTTTTTTTAATTCAAAAGTATTTGAGTTATAATATCACTTCAAATTTTTTTAGATAGGTCTAAATTTATTTATTTAAAATTTTAAGTGTTTGTTACCATATTATCCAAGTGATTATTGACTCTTAGAGTAGTTTCACCTTCTCGTTGCTCAATCATTTCTCTCCTCAACTAAAATATATTTATAAAACATTTTTAACCAATGAGAAAATATTAAAACAAAAATATTATAAATACTCACTTCAAGCAATAGAGTGTTATTATTAGTGTCCACGTCCGGTAACTCAATCTCACTCAGGTCGACCGTCTTATATTGAGGTCTGACCGAATCAGATTGCTGTAAAATATTGTTTACATACATGAAATTATAAAATTATAACAGTCGTATCAATGATAAAATGTTATGATTTATTACCGTTGGACGGAAGTCAGGGTGGTAAAGGACATGTCCATTATTGTCCAATATAAAGGAGTAACCATTGGCACCGAGCTTAAGGAATAAAAAATAATTAATTAAAAATAATTTTAAAAATCAAAAGTATTTACAATTTTTGTCTACACATTTTATATTTACCTTATAGGCCGGTACAAGTTTCTTTAGGTCGTCAATATAGACGTCCATACCTACCACACCCAATAAATTGGCGGCTCGTTCCTGTCAAAACAAAGTTAAATAATAATAAATAAGATATCATACAAAAGGACTCAATATATTTACCGAATGGTTTCTCCTGTCAAAAACGGGTGCAGATACTGTTGTCATAAGTCTGCCATCTATACTGTCAGTAGATTTTAAATTGTCAACCTGAAATGGTAAATTGTAAATCAAATATAAAATATAAATTTTTTCGATGTATTCGTTTCCAAAGATAAATACTTTGCTTGCAAGATATACTGGTGACCAATATACCGGATGATCAGTTTGATACATGATCAATGGTCTAGCCATGACTAAAACATAGTTTAGTACTTTTTCTCGAAGATTTCTTTGGTCTTCAATATGTTCAAAATAACCTAAAATATATTAAGTATAAATTGTAATATATATTATTCATAAATAATTATTTTTTAAAAATGATGACAAATATGAATAACTATAATAACAATAAAATGATTTAGGAATCTTAATTTTTCCATTATTAAGTTTAAAGATGAGAGATGAAACCATTGATTTTATAATGATGTATGTTTTAATTTTTCTATGATGATAATTTTTTCATGCGTATTTATCTGTCATCACCTTTTGGAGCATTAAAAACTAAAAATGCTTTAGTTTTCATTAAGGGCGAGTTTTTAGAAAAATTGTATTTAGTCTGTACTTTTGGGATTAAAAATAAAAAAACATTTTTTTAGTTTTCTTAATCGATAAAAAATTTAGAAGCAAAATATGAGAATATTTTTGTGATACGTTTAAAAAAAAAAAACATTTTTTTTATAATTAAAATAAATTAAACGTAAATTCTTGAAATTTATAATGTATTTTTCTTTGAAACACTTTGATAAAAATTCATATATTTAATTTAAAATCTTGATTAATTCAATAAAATATTTTTCATACATTTTTGGTATGAAAATTAAAAAATTATTAGAAAAATATTTTTAAAAAAAACATAGCCATCAACATTTTTAAAAACATTAAAAGTTGACATTTTGACATTTATAAATATTTTTATATAACAGAACAATTATTGTAAAACTAGTTTTAAAAACCCATGCATAATACGTACAATCTAAATGTTTACCTTTATTGTTGCAAGCAATCCAATTCATATCAGCAGCATTCGAGTCGTCTTTGCCGATTAAATATGTAAAAACTCGAACCGGCATATGTGGTTTATTATGTTGTAGAATTTCTTTATATGGACCAAATGGACCATCAGTAATTATCAATATTGCTTGATTGCATTGACTTCCTTGGCCAGTGCGATTAAACTGTATTTAACATAAAATATATTGTTTAGATTATATTGGTAGTAAACACAAATAGAATTTCACCCATTATACTATAATATCCGCCCTATCTATCATCACCCAACAAATTAACTCCTCCCCATACCAAACTAAAAGTTTCTAAATTAATTAATTCAAAGGTACTTTATGCAGTATGTCGAATGCACGGGCTAGAGCTCCAGTGAAGTTAGAACTGCCAGCAAACTTTGATTGTGCCACAGCAGATCTTAAATCTCTTAAGTTTTTCTCGTTGGCCTAAAATTTAAAAGAATTAGTCACTGTTTAAAATAGAAACGTGTAAAGTATAGAATTACTTGAACAATAATTTCTTTGAAACATGGTACAATTTCATAGTTTGATGACTCGAGGGATAAAACATTGACGAAATCGTTAGCACCCAGAGTATCAAGTGCCGCTAAAGTAGTAGCTCTTACAAGACTAAGTTTATAGTCAGATAATGCGATTGAAAAATCAGCTATTATAACAATATCTTTGGCGCTGGTTGCAGCCTCTACAAACCACGGATTAAGTCGATAGTCAAACAATGCAGATGGTGATAATCCTGAATATGAAGGCCATCGCAACGCTACAATAAAAAATATGAATCATGTAATCAATAAATATATTTTTACACAAATTAGTAACTAGATATTTCTGTTGAAACCCTGAATAATTTTGTTGTTAAAATATAATACACTATTATCAAAAATAAATTCTTAACACATCTTAACGTGAATTTTACCATGAATAATGAGAGGTTCATTTTAACCATGATTATTAGCAAAAGTAGCTAGACAGTACTAAAATAAACTTTAAAATGATAACTTTGAAATTGTATAAATTATAAGTAAATTTAAACTGTTTGATCACGATCCATCAAAGACTCAGACTTAAATACTGTTAAATAGGCACTATTTAATATAGTTTATATTTCGTAAATAAAAATTCTCCCTCTTTTCCTTAGGCAATTTAATTAAGTATCTACAAGCACTAGTTTAATTTAATTTTGATTATATATTATTAAATTGTATTGAATATAGTCTATTTAAACTATACTATTTTCTTGTTACAAATTGATCAAAAAAATGAAAGATCATAATTGAATCATAATTCATAATGTAAAAATTAATTATTTTCATATAATACTTTATTTTACTTAGAATTATAAAATCATTTTATTTGTTTTTGTACGAATAACTTAAATATTATTCGTGCATAAAATCCACGTAATAAAATTTTATATGATATATTGGCAACTAACTAAAAAAACTACACTATTCGATATTAGTTATCAAATGTAATTTAATTTTAATTTGTATTCGTGAGTCGTGACACTAATATACTGTGACAGTTACATAATGAAGTTATTAACTTAGAACACCAGTAAGTAGGTATACATTATGCACTTACTTGGAAATCGTCTGAGTGTCCCTTTTGTGCTACCAAAATATTGCCACGATAATACAGGATCCATTTCATAATTACTTACGAATATTGGATCTAAGTGGTCAGTCCATTGCATATCACGAACTATGGTTTCGTCAACTGAATCTTCAAATGTAATAATAAAATTGAAAATATATTTACTTTTTTAACATTTTAAACGGATTATCTAAGACTAACAATACTTAAACGCTATTTAATTTTTTTTTTTAATGCATGAACTTATAAATAATTTATACTTAAATGTTTAATTTAAATATAATATACACTTGAATATATGTATGTTTCTATTATTTACAGTAATCTATATAAGTATTATTAATGTTTTTTTTTTTTTATTGATTAGACATTACCTGGATCTACATATGTGCTCTGTAACAGCACACAATTTACAGTGGTGTTAAAAGCACATTGATCATATCGGTCTATTGACTCAAGACTCTTGTAATCCCCAAATCCATCGTTTACATAGCGCTCACTCTTTACAGAAGCCTCTTGATTAGCTAAAGCAGATTGTTCACCAGCTTCCATTAGCCTCTAAAAAAATAAAACATAATGCACTTATAGAAAAAATATTTGATTCTGGGAAATGTATTTACATATTATTAAATTAGTTCAAAAATAATCCAATTAAAAATTAAGTTTTAACTATTATATGCATGCTGGTGTTTTTCAATAAAATTTTTAAACTTTAAACTATTGTTCCAAAGTTAAAATATTGCAGACTTGAGTCTTGGACGAACTTAGGGCATTATACTTTTGTGGTGTGTGAAAATATTCTGAAAAGAAGGAGAATGAAAAAAGTTGCTAAACGGGTACAAAACTTTCGAGACAGAAATAAATCGAAAAAACCTATAAAACAATAATCAAAGTTGATGGTGGATAATTTTTAAAACTTATTCGACAACAACGGTTTATTAGATTCGTAAAAAGTGCGTTGAACTTTCTTTGGTGACCTGTATAAATATTGAAAAAAAAATATAACTACCTATATATTTTAGTTATACGTGACACATTTACGTATAACATATGCATTGATCACATTATTTTATAATTTATTTATCAAAGTTTTTATAATTGTACACATTATATTTTATAGTCTTACTATTGATTTATTATGGTAATTATAATATTTATATCTCTAAAATATTAAGTTGCAACTTAATCGTTTTGATTTAAGCCTAAAAAAATTATATTTCATAAGAACATTTATTTTTGTGGTATTTTTAAATATTTTTTTAAGAATCAATAATTTGAGATTTTTCAATAGTAAGTAAATTACCAATAATTTCATATTAAACTATTACCTAACCTAAATAATATACAAGTATATAATATGTTCAATTTCGAGGTTTGAATTTTCTTATATTTCAATGTAATTATTATTAAAATAAAAATTATAAAATTATAATTTATATCATTAATTTAACAAACATATTAAACATAACCTACATCTTTCTTTATAATTTATGTTTTTATTTTAATTTAAAATGTATATAATAATATATATTTTTAATTTAATTGAAATTGAAATTGAAATACAACAAAATCAAAAATATTATGGTTATAATAAAAAATGTTTTTATTAAAAGAAAAAAAAAATCTGCGGATTTAAAACTACCACAACTACAGACGAATATTTGAGATGATTTAAATTAAATTAAAATATTTACACTAACCATTATTGTTACTGGATAATGCTGACAGGCATCGTCCAGTAAAGTTTTTTTGAAGGTTTTGAAGGACCATATCATGTTTACATTTACGACAGTTAGTGTGATTTTTCTAAATTTATAATACCACAAATGTTGACAGTTATTTTCCAAGTTTTAATTTAATTTTTAAAAGATCGCATTTTAACGTGGATTAAATATATTAAATAATGTCGGATTTGACCTAAAAAAATAAGATAATAATATGTACATTAAATAATGTAAAAATAAAATAAATTTTTATTTATGAAGTACTCATATTAGAAGATATACTTCATTTGAGTTAATTTATTTCATTTATTTCTAAACAATTAAATTATGTAGAATAATAAATTAAAAGAAAACATTAAGAACTACATAAACATGAAATATCAATATAATCTATTTATTTACAATTACTAAAATTAAAAATAATTTAATAAAATAAAAACATTTTTAACAATATTATTAATTAGTATTGAAAAATTAATAGGATTTAGACAATATGACCTTTTTTGTTGGAAGTATATAAGAATAAAAACTAAAAGGATAAAAGTTTTTTGTTAAAGAAGTCTTCTTTATTTTTTATAATTATGTTAAAATTTACAATTTTTAAGAGGTTTAAGTTTAAAATAATGGAGAATTTATTTAATTAAATAACGATGTTTTTTTTTTACATTATTTTTAATTAAATTTGTAGCTTTAGAGTTTGACATTTTAATGCAAGGTAACACATATATTAATTACTATATTCAATAAATATTTAAAATCTTTATTCATTAATTATTTTTATAATTAATTTAAAACTAGTCCTAAATGTACTTTAATAAACCAAATTACATTGTGTTACACATAATAAATCATGTAATGGAAATAATAGAATAATATATTATTTGTTTTTAAATATATAACAAATACAATAATGACAAGTATTTACTAATCACTAATTGTTCTATAATATACTGGAAGTAAGACAAAAACCATGTGTCTATATTTTGTCTAGCTTTTGTATAATATAATTATATACTATGTGTATACATTTTTATATACTAAAAAAAAACCACAAAAGTGAAAAGTCTTCACTCTACTGTATAATTATGTCAAATTTACCTTTTAATTGAGTAAAATATAATGAATATGTTAAATTTGAATCCAATACTTGTTCATTTCATATTAAAAATGGTTTTGTGATGAGATGGTATTACAAAATATATTGTATTGATTACATTTATAATTTTACATAGAGGTAATTTATTTTTCTATTAGTAATAAAATAGTTTGAAGTAAATTTTACCAAATATAATACGTATTTATTAAATAATATAACTATATGTTATTAACAGCTTACGAGTAAATATTGGTGAACCATAAAACGGTTTGAATAGGTTTATCGTATAAAAAGTTTTAAATTAATAAAAATATTTTGAAATTTTTATTGTGTATAGTTAATAATGATATATTTAGTAGTAAAAAGTTTTTCTAACGTAAAATATTTTTTTAAATAATCATTAGCAAAATAATTAAAAATATTCATTCAAATATCCTATTACGTTGAAATTTGGGAACTTAAAATTTCTATAAAAGTATATTGTACTCATATATTTTCTGTTATACATTTCTATAAGAAAATCATGTATGAGATCTTGTATTATGATTTTAATCTTTTTGGCTATCCTTAATTTTTTTAATTAACATCCTAAACAAAATTTTAAAATATTAGAAATTTAAAATGCCTATAAAAAGCTTAAAGTTAATTATTTCATATGGGAAATTATATTTTAAGTAGAAGTGGAATGTCTCTATGTATTTACGCGTATGACAAAATGTTCATATTTTATAATATATTATATCAGTTAATAGAAAATATTGTTATTGTTTGTATTAAGTATCTATATTATATTCATAATTAACTAATTTCAGAATATTACTTTTTTAAGTCGTTATTACAAAGTGTTTTTATTTAGAATAGGTAGTTTTATAAAATTAAACTTCATTATTACATATTCTCTAAACGTAATATTTTTTAGTGTATGTCTTAAATAAGTGGATTATACATTATCATAATAATATAAACCAAAGTTTTTTATATTATTGTTTCTATTTTTAATTGCATACAAAAACATAAGAAATATATGCATCTAATTAAACTATCTTAAATATATGTTCCAAAATTGTGTTACAAAATTATTTTCAATGTTAATTACCATAAACATAAGATCTATTATACGCTTTTTAAGTACATGTCAATTTTTTTGAATAAGTTAATTTCACACACTAGGGTTACTTAAATTGATGCGAGGAGGAAGTTTATACAATGTCGTGTGCATACCACATAATTTCATAACGACACGATTGCTTCAGTGATGACACCATTTTAATTGCGATTATTCTTCTTATTATTATTATTATTATTATTAAGAGACTGTTTTGACAGGATATTAAGTTAATAAAACGAGCATAGCGTACAAATCATAATGGTTAGGCACTGGTAACGACTTATGCAAATTAAATGGCAAAGAAACGAGAGATTTCAGGTCTGTGCAAAGTGCTTTATAATATCATTCGTCAGATGGCATGGGAAGTGTGGAGTCATTAAGGGTGTTAAAATGGTGTGGTTCTCCTTTTCAACCTCGAATCCTGTTAATTAAATTCCTCGACGAGTTGTGCACTATGTCTGTGTTTGTATGTGCGTGTGTATGAGAGCCTCTTCCACGTCTATTTCTATCTCTCTCTGTCTCAGTATTCCTGACTCTCTCGTCCTGACTATCTCTTGGTGCCAAAACCATTCTACAAAGCAATCGGTTCCAAAAATCTACACACAAGCGGGAGAGGAACATACAGTTAATGAGATAAAGAGTGAGAGAGGAATATAAAGCTTATTGTTACGACCCTCAACCAACACACCCATTGAAGCTCTCTAATTACACCCCACCTTACACCCAGCCAACGATAAGTTAATTAACGTTTATTGATGTAATATAGACGCCATATTGAGATGTGCAATAATGTTTTAATCGGTTTGGAAATTTGTCATGTACATTGCGTTTAAATAACGTTATTATAGCCAATACATAAGAGTACCTATAGTATGAGTATGTTTAACGATGACAAATTACAAAGGGAAAGGTCGTTGTTTTCAATAACGGTGGTTGATTGTATACAAGTTATAGGAATTCAAAAAGGGTCGTGGGTATATATTGACATTAACAAAACAATGTAAGCATTTATAATTGAGTACACTACACTCGTAATTCAAAAATGAATTAAATTAAGCATTTAAGTTGAACAGAAAAATCATATTTAAATACAGTTAAAGGTGTAGATAATTTCTAAGTATAACTTACTTATAACTAAAAAAAACAATAGAAAATTAATTTACTTACCAAAACAGAATTCATTTTGATATCCATCATATTTTTAACTTCTGCTGCCAAATCGCGAATAAGTAAAAGTCCGTCTTTTCTTCGTACTTTGGATTCTCGCTCTCGATATTTCTGTTATAAAAAACAAAATTAAAAGTTTAGTTATTTTTTTGAGAAAAAAACTTATGTAAAAATAAATTAAAAATAAAATCTATTTATTTAATTATTTAGAATAGTATTTAATTTATTTCGTCTATAAACTATAATAAAGCAGAAAATTCAAATTCTTGATAAAACTTAAGTATTAGGTAGTACTGCATGCTTATTCATGCCTAATTATTATAAGGATTTTCAGACTTTAAAATGATAGCACATTAAAAATATATAATAGTTAGAAAAATAAATAAATTGATCAATAGAAAATATAATATAAGTATTTATAACGAGTAAAATTTTGATTTGTGTCCAATTAATACGATCGAAATATACTTGGTTTTTAAATTCCGATTTGTTATTATTATTCTTTTTATAAGTTTAGCTTCAATGGCCACTACAAAATAGTTGCACTTACACTTAATTCTAAAATAATAAAATAATTAAATTTATTAATGTCTCAACTTTTTTAAATATCTAAATATTCATTTTAAGAATTTTATTCAATGGAACTATTTAATATTAGTACTAATGTAAATTTAAACTTACTCTTTGTATTTCGTTCATGTTGGTGATTTGTCTGCCAAACTCCCATAAATCTACACCGAATTTCAGTGCCCAATTTTTTACTCTGAAATGGAACACACATATGTAAATCAAGTATGGAATAAGGGTAAAACTAGATTTTTAAATATGGGGCACCTATAAAGGATAATATAGATATGTCTAGCCACTTGTCAGTGTATTATCATTTATTGATGACGGGTGTGTCACACCTAATTGTTAGTCACACTAATTCATACGGGATACTTGTTAATGGAATATGGTCACAAATAACGTGTGTTATATCACAATCTATTTGTAAAAAGACCAAAAAAAAAAAACACTAATGTGATTCCCCACAGCATAGGAAACACCTATTTCAATACGATGAATGTGATAATTCGATATTCTGAGGGTATGAATAGTGTATGACTTATTTCAGACTTCAGTATATTTAGTGTTTGATTTAGGGTTTAACAAAAACAGAAATCTTAAAAATCCGTTTGAAAAAAGCAATATTAAAAGGCGCAATTTAAGAAAAGTATAATATATATGAATATTCTAAGCTCTTTTGTAGTTTCCAATAATGTATTTAATATTACTAAGTGTATTATTGCAAGAAATTGTTGAATGTCGATATGACAACAATCGATGTTTACATAAAATTATAATTAACATTACTAAAATTTTAAACACGTTTTTAGCAACAGATACATAACTACGTGTATAATAATTAATTCGTTATTGTATTTGATTTAAAAACAATTTCACTAGATAAATTGCTTTAATAATAATTCAATTCATATAAAATAATAACACACAATTATTCAATAAAAGAGTCAAATTCAAAACTTTATTTCAGTTGGAATAATACAGTGAAATAACAAAAGCCATTAAATTAATAAATCGTATTATAGTTCAATACTGAATACTCAATTTGGCATTTAATCGTAACGTTCGTAACATAGTAACATTGTTATAAATTATAATATAATTTTTAAACTCTAATATTTACTATTCACGCCTATATTTTTAGATCAATCAAAATATATTTATATTTTTTTTTTGTCTATGCGATACTATTAATTGTATTTTTTAATAAATTTTTCTTTTTCACCTTTCAAATTAAAAAAAAATATTTTCAAACGTGAAATATTAAAGGTTTTAATATTACAAAAAACTTTACTTTTTTTGCAGATTTCTAATAACTACTGAGAATTCGCTTGTCTTACAAACCTAAAATACCATCTGTGTCCACTTTCAATCGATAGAAAAACTATATTAAAGTTTAGGTAAATTTTTATTTTTACTACTCAGAAAAAAAATATAATAAACGTAGTTTTCTGAAACAAAATAAAAAACAATACATATATATAATTCATTTTAATTAAAATTTAGATTCGACGTAAAATATTAAATTAAATTGTTATGATTTAATCGCTGCACGTCTCTGCAATAGTGGTTTATAAACTCTTATTATTTCTATATAATATTATCTTATAATCATCGTATGAGATTCGTACCGTGATTCGATGTACTTATAAATTATATTTTTTCGTTGGTTAATAAATATGCAGATTAGACGGGAAATGTACAATAGAATAATATAATGTTTAAATTTCGTGAACATTATAATAAAAATAATACTTATCGTGAGTTCACAAAATTACCTATTTATCAACATGCGTAATGCGAACACTACTTGTATAATAGTGGTACTTTAATCGGCTTTTAAGTACATTTTCGCGAACCACACTGTTTTTGTTGTTGTTGTTGTTAAATCGTGTAATACACAGGACTTGATTTAATTCCTATTATTTTCATTGTATGCAGTATCGTGATTAGGGAGCGTCATAATATTATATATCGCTACATGGCCTTAGATGTTGACTACTGAGTGCTGATAGTTAATAATTGTGTACGAGAGCTTCGTAATTTTTTTTTACCAACTTAACGGCGTCTAAAAAAGAATGTTCCCGAGGGATCGATGATAAATATCAATACAATCTCTGAGGTTTTTCCGCTTTTTTGGCTTCGGAACACCCCCTGCGAACAGTGCGAACACGCAGTCCGACCTGACTCAGTGCCTCGTAGAACAGTAAAATCGAGTTTGCCACGTAGACAAGTAAATGTTACGAAAAACCTCGAGGCCAAAGATCCTTTGGCATTACGTTTGTTTTCAAGAATTGCACACTTGAAATTATCGACATACTATATCAATGATATAGAGCGAACAGCGTGTTATCGCAGCACGGCGCCCAAGAATCGGGAAAGAAAAAAAAAAAGCTATATATACCTACTTGCGGGCAATCGGGGAAATAATCGACGAACGTTGCGGTCGCGGAATGTAGGTGAGGACGCGTGCGATGTGGGCGGAGGGTGGGTTTGCTGTGCGTGGGTGGTACAGCGTGGGGTACGAGAGGGTATTATTATTATATATATATATAAACAAAATACAAAATATAACACGCGGCTATGAGAGGAGGCATTAATCACACACGGCAAGAAACGTTTCGGCGGGATGAATGCAGCTATGTGTACACACTACACACGCGGGTGGGTCGGCGCATAGTGTTTTGGCGACGGCGATGCGTAGTAGTTGCGGGATTTGGGGGGGAGGGGGTCGCCTGACGACGTGACCCCTTCGTGTACGATCTCGAGCGTTTTCTCGTACGCCGCTTCTACTACGGTCATACTACTACTACTACTACTACTACTACTACTACTACTATTACTACTATTACTACTACTACTACTACTACTACTACTACTACTACTACTACTACTA